GTCAAGGACAGGAGCTGCAACAACAACTGCGAGCTGCTCTACTACTGTGTGGATTCCCATTCACAAGTGCTGGAATGAAGTGCTCTGAGATCACTTCCTCTACGTGCTGCAATGCATAAAGTGAGGATTGTCCTTCACCACCTCTTCTTGTTAGCAGATATGAGTTTTACTGGGACTCCTGATCGGCCAGAGCCTGTTTGGCTCTAGCAGCCTTGAGTGCCGTGCAAAGGCACCTCAAGTGCCGTGCATGGCACTAGTGCCGTAGCTTGCCTACCCCTGTCATATTAAATAGTTTTTGGGTGTAAGAGAGAATTCCATTTATCTGTCAAAATAAGAAGAACGTCCAGGGATCCCATTTAGACTGTCTAATAAATACCTTGGATAAAAGTGAAACCCTAACCAGAAAGAGTGCACTCTTAAGCACTCCCACCACTAATGCAAATATGCTCCCTTCATTCCAGAACCCATCCAGCAGGAGTCAGATTAGGTCTTTCCCATTCTATGCAGCTTTACTGGTGTAGTGTCAAATCACCTGTTTTTGCAATTTGGCTTTTTATTAAAGGGATACTCAGAGCACCGAAACAACTTTAGCTTAATATAGACATTTTAGTGTATAAATTATGCTCCATCGGTGTTAAATCACTTTTGTTTCTGTTTATGCAGCCCTAACCATACCTCTTCAACACAGCCACCATGAAAATGGCTTAATTTTCAATCAGATCTTACAGTACATTGGGTTTACTTTAGACATGTTTATCTTCTGTTCTGTTAATTGTACTTTAATCACACACTGTAGGCTCCTAGAGGCAGGTTATTAACAGAGCATGTGATAAGAAATTCTAAATTAAAAAAAACTGTACAATAAAGGAAATGTAAACATTAGATCTCTCTTTAAATAAGTATTTATGGAGGCTGTGCAGGTCACATGCTGGCAGGTGTGACTAAGGCTGCATAAAAAAAATGATTTAAGTTCTAAATGACAGAGAATTGAGATTACTGGGGCATGATCAACAGAGACAACCTGTCTATAGGTCCCAGTGGGGCCATGGTTCTTTTCGGTACTGTGTATCTATCACACTGCTCCCATAAGGATCGCTAAATCCTTCACCCATGCCCTTTTGGCCAAAGGAGTGATTCCTTTGCAGCCAGCTTCAGTTAGTTATAGGGGGCTCATCCAGCAGCTTTACTACATGTCAGACAGGATGTGGACAGCCCATGGCTTCTGAAGATCAGGACACCACAAAGGAGCAACTTTCAGGAGCTACCGCCCCCTACCCGGTGCTTGGTACTGTTTTCAATGGGCTCTTTTCAGTGTTTCCAGGCCCCGAGTATGTAATGCAGGAGGGAGGGCTGCTTGCTTTGTGTGTTTGTGTATGTATGTATTATATAGTGTGTGTGTACATATATATATATATATGTAGGCAATGTGTGAGTCTGTCTGTATTAGGTAGTGTGTGTGTTTATGTATTATGCAGTGTGTGTGTGTCTGTGAATGAGAGAGTGTGTGTGTATGCATTAGGCAGTTTGTGTGTGACTTTAGCAGTTTGTGTGTGTTACCAAAAGAACATGAAAAAAGAGTTTCACAATATAAGTGATCTCTGAGTACCATCCAGCAACTTCTTATAATAAAGGTCTAACCCTTTTAACATGAAAACACTTTCACAAAGCTATATTTATCAGTAGTTATATCTGGTCTATCTCAGAGATCGTGGTGAGATTCAGTAAAACTACTGGGTTAATGATACTTCGGTTCATTCAAGGGGATTTGTAATAGTGCAGGGCACAGCATTTCCTGTAGTTTGCAACTGTTTTTCTCTGGTCGAATTGTTTTACACTGCCTCACTCTGAGATACTCTAAAGAAGTTACTGTATGTTCTAATAATACTTTGGTTCATTAAGGGGGAAGTGTAATAGTGCACGGCACAACATTTCCTGTACTTTGCAACTGTTCTTCACTAGTGGAATTGTTTTATACTGCCTCTCTCTGAGATACTCTGAAGAAGTTACTGCTCCAGGTCCTATTGCTATCAATTATGCAGTTATAAAACTTTGTTTTTGTTTTTAGCTCACAATTTACCATTTGTAGTTCAGAGATTTTGTTACTTCCTTGGAAGGCAGTGCAACAGAGTATCACATAGTTTGTGATACATCGATTCCTGTGATTAAAGTGACACTATAACCACCAGAACAACTGCAGCTGATTGTATTTGTTCTGGTCAGTATAATCATTCCCTTCAGGCATTTTGCTGTAAACTCTCTGTTTTCGGTGAATAGGTAGGGTTTACATTACAGCCTAGGGATACCTCCACTGGCCACTCCTCAGATTGCCACCAGAGGTGCTTCCTGGGTTAGTGCTTCAAAGTGTGACTGACATTCAGTGTATCCTTGCTCTGCATGCGGACACTGAACTTTCCTCATAGAGATATGTTGATTCAATGCATTTCTATGAGGAGATGTTGAATGACCAGGGCTGTGTTTGGCTTGTGCTGACTGCCGCTGATCTGCCTCCTTGACAAGCTGAACCAATCCAATGCTTTCCTATAGGGAACCATTGTGATGGGCTTTTGATCAACACTTCTGATGATATCAGCCAAGCAGGTAGATCAGGGGCAGAGCCAGCATCAGACTGTCTGTAATAAAGGTAAGCATTTCATCCTTGAACCTAGGCATCGCAATGTCTTAAGCCAGCTCTGATAATCCATATAAAAAAACTGCTTTAATAATCTAAAGTTGTTTTGGTGGTTATGGTGTCCCTTTTTAACTATATTAAATATTAACTAATTGCTTTGGTGAATAAACCCCACAGAGATACAATACATAAAACAGAGAATGCAGACTACTACCTACAGTCTACTGATTTTTGCTTTGAAGTAAGCGTAGTGCAATGCTATCCCCAATTATTTATACAAGGTGGACTCTTTAAGAAATGTAAATAATTCATACTTCCCAACTTTTTGGACAAATTGACAAAGATTGACACTTTAATTATAGTGGTGTGAGTGGGGGTGTAGCTAGGGGCTGTACTGGGAAATATTAGGTGACTTACTAACAAGAAGTTATACAACTAAAAGGTAATTCAGAACAAGAACAATATATCTTATTATTAACACATTTATAGACACATTACTGGGAGTATTATTACTGTGGAGCTCTGTTATACACCCAGACACATTACAGGGAATATTATTGCTGTAGAGCTCTGTTATACACTCAGACACATTACTGGGAGTATTATTACTGTGGAGCTCTGTTATACACCCAGACACATTACTGTGAGTATTATTGCTGTGGAGCTCTGTTATACAGTCACACACATTACTGGGAGTATTATTGCTGTGGAGCTCTGTTATACACTCAGACACATTACTGGGAGTATTATTGCTGTGGAGCTCTGTTATACACTCAGACACATTACTGGGAGTATTATTGCTGTGGAGCTCTGTTATACACTCAGACACATTACTGGGAATATTATTGCTGTGGAGCTCTGTTATACACTCAGACACATTACTGGGAGTGCTATTGCTGTGGAGCTCTGTTATACACTCAGACACATTACTGGGAGTATTATTGCCGTGGAGCTCTGTTATACAGTCACACACATTACTGGGAGTATTATTGCTGTGGAGCTCTGTTATACACTCAGACACATTACTAGGAGTATTATTGCTGTGGAGCTCTGTTATACACTCAGACACATTACTGGGAGTATTATTGCTGTGGAGCTCTGTTATACACTCAGACACATTACTGGGAGTATTATTGCTGTGGAGCTCTGTTATACACTCAGACACATTACTGGGAGTATTATTGCTGTGGAGCTCTGTTATACACTCAGACACATTACTGGGAGTATTATTGCTGTGGAGCTCTGTTATACACTCAGACACATTACTGGGAGTATTATTGCTGTGGAGCTCTGTTATACACTCAGACACATTACTGGGAGTATTATTGCTGTGGAGCTCTGTTATACACTCAGACACATTACTGGGAGTATTATTGCTGTGGAGCTCTGTTATACAGTCAGACACATTACTGGGAGTATTATTGCTGTGGAGCTCTGTTATACACTCAGACACATTACTGGGAGTATTATTGCTGTGGCGTTCTGTTATACACTCAGACACATTACAGGGAGTATTATTGCTGTGGAGCTCTGTTATACACTCAGACACATTACTTATTATTGCCGTGGAGCTCTGTTATACACTCAAACACATTACTGGGAGTATTATTGCTGTGGAGCTCTGTTATACACTCAGACACATTACTGGGAGTATTATTGCTGTGGAGCTCTGTTATACACTCAGACACATTACTGGGAGTATTATTGCTGTGGAGCTCTGTTATACACTCAGACACATTACTGGGAGTATTATTGCTGTGGAGCTCTGTTATACACTCAGACACATTACTGGGAGTATTATTGCTGTGAAGCTCTGTTATACACTCAGACACACCAACAATATGGAGCTCCTAGAAAAGAGGGACAGAGGGATTTGGCCAAAATAGGCACTGTCCACCATAATAGGGACACTTGGGAGGTATGAAATATAGCAGGTTTGAAACCAATTTGCCATTTGCATTGATACACTGTATTTGAATATGTAGGACTTGGTTATATGTATGAGGCAAATCTGGGACAAAGTTCTTAAAAGGTGAAGCTATCACCATGGAAACCCATAGACTGTCCCTGTTCATTCACCCTGCCTCCCTCCTCCCTTGGTATTCTGCAAACACTGAAATGTAAACCTTGCTGTCTCCTACAATGCATGACAATCATTACAAATACACTTCAAAAGTAAGATATTTTGTCATCACTGACATCTGCAAATAAAAATGTTACACCCACCCTCCCTATTCTCCCATCCCTGTATCAGGCGCAAAAAAAATATATATATATATTTTTTTTAAATTGCCCTTAAGAAAGATGGCTGCCAATCGCTGACGTAACGTAAGACGTGTTTTCCAGGCGCGACGTTAGGACGTCTGCTAAGGGGCGTTTGACGTCATTGGCTGCGCCAAAAAAGCGCCGGGAATCGTGTAGTGTGGCTGGTAAGGAGAGTTTTCCTGCTGTAACCTCAGTATAACGCTCAGTCTGTGATTATAACCCCAGTATAACGCTCTGTCTGTGATTATAACCCCAGTATAACGCTCAGTCTGTGATTATAACCTCGGTATAACGCTCAGTCTGTGATTATAACCCCGGTATAACGCGCAGTCTGTGATTATAACCTCAGTATAAGTCTGTGATTATAACCTCGGTATAACGCTCAGTCTGTGATTATAACCTCAGTATAACGCGCAGTCTGTGATTATAACCTCAGTATACGCTGTCTGTGATTATAACCTCGGTATAACGCTCAGTCTGTGATTATAACCTCGGTATAACGCTCAGTCTGTGATTATAACCCCGGTATAACGCTCAGTCTGTGATTATAACCTCGGTATAACGCTCAGTCTGTGATTATAACCTCGGTATAACGCGCAGTCTGTGATTATAACCTCAGTATAACGCTGTCTGTGATTATAACCTCGGTATAACGCTCAGTCTGTGATTATAACCTCAGTATAACGCGCAGTCTGTGATTATAACCTCAGTATAACGCTCAGTCTGTGATTATAACCCCAGTATAACGCTCAGTCTGTGATTATAACCCCAGTATAACGCTCAGTCTGTGATTATAACCCCAGTATAACGCTCAGTCTGTGATTATAACCTCAGTATAACGCGCAGTCTGTGATAACCTCAGTATAACGCTCAGTCTGTGATTATAACCCCAGTATAACGCTCAGTCTGTGATTATAACCCCAGTATAACGCTCAGTCTGTGATTATAACCTCAGTATAACGCGCAGTCTGTGATTATAACCTCAGTATAACGCTCAGTCTGTGATTTACTGGTACGCTCAGTCTGTGATTATAACCTCGGTATACGCTCAGTCTGTGATTTAACCTCGGTATACGCTCGGTCTGTGATTATAACCTCGGTATAACGGCTCGGTCTGTGGGTATAACCTCGGTATACGCTCAGTCTGTGATTATAACCCGGTATAACGCTCAGTCTGTGATTATAACCTCGGTATACGCTCGGTCTGTGATTATAACCTCGGTATAACGCTCAGTCTGTGATTATAACCACCGGTATAGCGGCGCGGTCTGTGATTATATAACCTAGGTATACGCTCAGTCTGTGATTATAACCTCAGTTTAACGCTCAGTCTGTGATTATAACCTCAGTATAACGCTCAGTCTGTGATTATAACCCCATGTATCAATTCATATAACCCCTGTATACCGTGTATCAATTCATATAACCCCTGTATACCGTGTATCAATTCATATAACCCCTGTATACTGTGTATCAATTCATATAACCCCTGTATACCGTGTGACATCTTTGTAATTTTTACAAAAAGTGCAGGTTTCTATAAAAAATTGCACTTTTATAAGTTAACCTTGTTACAACCCCCCTGCCTGTCGTTAAGTCCTGTTACTTCCTGGTTGTTTAGCTCAACTCAAGAGGCAGCAATTGCCCTGTGCACCTGCCTTGCTAAGACTTCACACTAAGCTGCATTGGGAAGTCTGTGATTGGACAGTCACAGAAACTCTGGGTGGGGCAAGAAGAGGAGAGCTTCCAAAGGTTAACCCTTTAAGGACACATGACGGAAATATTCCGTCATGATTCCCTTTTATTCCAGAGATCTGCAGCTGTTACAATGTGTTTTCAAAACATCAACAATGAAAACATGCATAATTAAACATATGCATATTTTCATTGTTGTATAGTTATTTATTAAACCATTCTTTTTTGGACTTGGGCAAAAATATTTAATATACAATGTGCACACATTTCCCTCTAAAAGGGGACACTGTAGGCACCCAGACCACTGCAACTCATGTAAGTGGTCTGGGTGCCAACTCCCATCACCCTTAACCCTGCAAGTGTAAAAACTGCAATAATTACCATGCAGCTTTAAGTCCTCCTCTAGCAGCTGTCTACCGGCTTCTTATACGACTTTTGGTCGTCTAAATGATGCTGGATGTCCTCACGCTATGCATGAGGACCTCCAGTGTCGCCTGAATCCCCATAGAAAAGCATTGAATAATGCTTTCCTATGTGGGGATCCTAATGCGAGCACGGCCATTATCGCGCATTCGCATTAGGTATCCCCCATCGGCGGGAGAGGAGCGTGAGCGGAGCATGACCCAGTGCCGAGGGACATCAGCGCTGGATTCAGATAAGTGTCTGAAGGGGTTTTGACCCTTTCAGCGACGTGGGATGGGGGCACTCCAGGATTCTCTAGTGCCAGGAAAATGGGATTGTTTATCTGGCACTAGAGAATCCCCTTAATGACTAATTTGAAATATGCAGGCTGACTAAATCACTATAAGTCACAACTCCTTCTTGGGTTGAGCAGCTGGAGGGCAGCCTAACTAAATCTCATGAACTCTTTGTAAACACAGGGTTCTCTCTCTGCAGTAGTAGTGAGGATCTGTCTTCCGCTGACTGTTCACTGACAACAATTCCTGCTTATTTAAGTGATCTAGTATTTTGATTTGTTTCAGCCTGCTTTTTCCATTATTTCAGTATATTAGTTCTGAGGTCTCCTTTTAATGAGTGAATGTTAGTTTGAGACCCTAGTTAAGTGGTTTCATTTTCTTTCAGTTTTTGTGTATACTAATGATGCTTTATGTTAATTTTGTTTTCAGTTTTACAAGAATATTATCGCAATGGATATCCGTCCCAACCATACAGTTTATATCAACAACCTGAGCGATAAAATCAAGAAAGATGGTGAGAGCAAAGCATCCTGACTTTAATTTTGTCTTCACATTCATAAAATGGTCATGCACATATTGTAGTCCTGTTAGATAAATTGAATATAGTGTCAATGTACTTATTCCTCTTTTAATTAACCCCTTAAGGACACATGACATGTGTGACATGTCATGATTCCCTTTTATTCCAGAAGTTTGGTCCTTAAGGGGTTAAAAACAAATTGTAGGTTAAAGGGTTAATCCAGCTTCTATGATCACATGGTGGAAGGGATCTTTATGAAAAAATACAAGTGTGCTGGCACTCAATCACAACAAGGTGCCGGTATTCGAGGTTAATCCCAAAAAACCTCCAAATCACAATCAAAAATATATATAATGAATACCGCACTCTAATAATGAAAAGTATACATAATACTTGTAATTAATGCTGAGAAAAAATTTATTATAAATAAATTCATGCGAAGTATGTCAATAGGAATATTCATTTCATCCTGAGTGCACCAATTATATACAAGAAATATATGCAATATATACAGTATATACAAAATTGTTTCCAAGTATTGGATAAAGTTCATTTAATGTATATACACTTGATGATGGTCCTTTAGAAAAAAATTAGAAAAAATTGAAAAATTGAAAAATAAAATATGTAAACAATCCCCAATCCAAAAATAAAACAGAGGAAAGGAGAAAGAAAAAAGGAGAAAAAAAGGAAAAAAGAAAAAAAGAAAAAAGAAAAAATGAAGAAAAAATATATGTAAAGACGTCCTGATAGTCCAAAATATAGTGCACTATATATAGCTATATGTGGATGGATCTCACCAATGTAGACATCTTTTTCTTGGTGTACACAATTAATAGCTGTAGTCAGATGATGATATGAACGAAGGTGAAGGAAATGATTATTGTAAAAAACGGACAGTCACTCCATCAGCTCCCAGTAGGTGTGTGGTCAAAACGACAAATCTATCTTTCTGTCGACGAACTTGTTCAGGCAGTGTAGTCTCAGGCAGTGTAGTCTTTGGACGGGCTGCGCGCTCGGGACATATCTGTCCCTTCGACGGCCCCTGTATTCTTGTATTCTAGAATACAGGGGCCGTCGAAGGGACAGATATGTCCCGAGCGCGCAGCCCGTCCAAAGACTACACTGCCTGAGACTACACTGCCTGAACAAGTTCGTCGACAGAAAGATAGATTTGTCGTTTTGACCACACACCTACTGGGAGCTGATGGAGTGACTGTCCGTTTTTTACAATAATCATTTCCTTCACCTTCGTTCATATCATCATCTGACTACAGCTATTAATTGTGTACACCAAGAAAAAGATGTCTACATTGGTGAGATCCATCCACATATAGCTATATATAGTGCACTATATTTTGGACTATCAGGACGTCTTTACATATATTTTTTCTTCATTTTTTCTTTTTTCTTTTTTTCTTTTTTCCTTTTTTTCTCCTTTTTTCTTTCTCCTTTCCTCTGTTTTATTTTTGGATTGGGGATTGTTTACATATTTTATTTTTCAATTTTTCAATTTTTTCTAATTTTTTTCTAAAGGACCATCATCAAGTGTATATACATTAAATGAACTTTATCCAATACTTGGAAACAATTTTGTATATACTGTATATATTGCATATATTTCTTGTAAATAATTGGTGCACTCAGGATGAAATGAATATTCCTATTGACATACTTCGCATGAATTTATTTATAATAAATTTTTTCTCAGCATTAATTACAAGTATTATGTATACTTTTCATTATTAGAGTGCGGTATTCATTATATATATTTTTGAAGGGATCTTTATGAGCAGCGAGTCTGCTTGAAACGCTGCACTTACAGAGATACCTAGACTTTAGTACCGGGGCTAGTTGTACACCCTGCACATGTGACTTGAGCCACACAGAACTCTGCTGCTGGCTGTCTCATGTTAATTCTGTGCAAAAATTACATCTGTCATCACTCATCAGCACACACTGGTGACAAATGTTATTAACCCTTCTACCCTCCCAAACAGCACTTGGAGCACATCTGCAAGGAAAAGCCTAGATCTCTTCACTCTCCCTGGGTGTGCACCCTCCCCACTTTGCTTCATTGAGAATGATTTGATTTTATTTATTTTTTTATTCCCCCCTTTTCCTTACTTCCTACCCAGCTCAAAGTGCGCATGCGTTTTAAGGCTTTGGCAATAGTCCAGTCAGATGCTTCTCTATGTGGAGCATTTGATTAGACAAAGGAGAGGGAAGGTATGATGTTGGACCGGGTGTAAAAATGCTCAAGGAGAGCTTTGCCCAGTGGATTCAAGGCAGTTTTTTACTTTAGTTAAATAGGTTTTGAGGTTACAAAAGAGGAGAACACAGTATTTGTTCCCAATAGGGCAGCATGGATTTGAAAAAAATAAAATAAAAACACAGTGAAAAAAGGTTATAAGAAGAAGTAAAAAGTATAACCTGTAGGAAGCCATGAAATTGATATTATGTTCACCTGAAGCTGGTTCTTCTCATGAACTTGTTTCCGCATAATCAGTCAATAAAAAAAAAAAAATAATAATAATAATTCTGTTTTTCTAAATAGACATTTGTGCCAAATAATTTACTCCAGTGAATAACCTATCTGATTGTGGATCATTTTGCAGCAGATTTAATTGATACAGTTGGCACTGTCACTGCGTCATCTCATTGAACCTTTTATTTCCATTTTTTTGGCAAACTGCCAGGCCGCTTTAAAGGGGAGCTTCAAGCTCTTTCTAGAAGCCCTGTCACTCAGAGCTGGAATTACACTTCAAGTTCTCTGTATCACATTTTATTTCCTCCATGACAAGCCTTTTTAGTCTAACAATATTTATTTGTGCATTTTTTTTCCACAGAATTAAAGAGATCGTTGTATGCATTATTCTCTCAGTTTGGCCACGTGATGGACATTGTAGCACTGAAGACTATGAAGATGAGAGGACAAGCTTTTGTAATATTTAAGGAGCTTGCTTCTGCCACCAATGCTTTACGTCAGTTACAAGGTTTTCCTTTTTACAATAAACCAATGGTAGGTGTTCTAAATTTTGTTGTTTAGCAGTCGGGGGTGGGGGGGAGGGAATTTGCAACATTGTCCTGGAACTCGGCATCCTCACAACTCACATTTGTTCAGATTGTCATGCAGGAATTTTTAAAAGCTTTCCCCCCCTCTCATCCTCTCACTTTCTGTACCAATCAGTATCTTTCCATAGGGATGCTTTATCCCAATACGTCTCTACTGTGTGCACGTGGATTGCAGGACCGTACCAGGACGTACCTCTGCTCTCTGACTGACAGAGTTGTCCTTTGGGACACATGTAAAAACGTTTTTTTTTTTTTTTTTTGTAACCTACAGAGGATCCAGTACGCCAAGACAGACTCTGATCTTGTATCTAAAATGCGGGGCACGTTTGCAGATAAGGAGAAGAAGAAAGAAAAGAAAAAGAGCAAAGCTCAAGAACAGGCAGCTAATGCAGCAAATAAGCCAGCAACGGTAAGAGGCAGCACAATCATTTTTAAACATAAATCACAATGTATTAATGTTTGAACAATTTGTGACGGAGCACCAATTCTACAGCATTCTGTGCCAGATATATGTGGTCCTTATCCTCGGTTTAAAGACAAAGGATCATGCACCTAAAATGGAATGAACATGTTTTCTAGTGGAATAACATTGGATTCTATACGTTGCTTAGAGCTTTCTTTCTGCCCCTACTAATCAGTATATTTTATTGTCACCAGTAATGATACCATGAACCAAAGTTTCTGGCAAACACGTACTTTCTTATGCTGTTGAACTCTTGTTATGCATGAGAAGGTTATGGAGCTGGTTCAGTGTTTTTTTTTTTCTATTATGCCGTTAGAAGCACAGCATAGTAGGCTCGCAGATCCCACATCACTATCCCTTTTATTTCCTCATCCAACAGTACCAGACTTTATAACCCCACAGTATTTGCCAATTATTGCTCTTCACTTTATAATTTACGTGAGGATAATACAATTCATCAACCCTCCTTGGAGAAGATTAATAAATGTTTTTGAACAAGTTACACCCCCCCAAGATTCCCATGGCCAACTCGGAAGTGCTGTCGGCACCCATCACCAAAGAAGAGGTGGAAAATGTGAAAAAAACAACCTGTAAGCGTTAGGAATACTGTCTGGCCCATTATATAATGTATATACATTTATCTTCCTATTAGCTCTTTATTTTGCTTCCCTCTTTAATTACTACAAAAAAAACTAAGACTTTACCGTAGGGATTCTTACATGCCCATATAGTCACATTACCTACACTAGGCAAAACAGCAATTGTATGCCAGAACTTTCGCCATATATCGCTACATAACTCTGGCACGAAGATTTATGCTAAGATCCTGGCTATTTAACTTATTGACTTACTACCAGCCCTTTTATATCCAGACAGATTTGTATAATTTAGACAACTATCTGACAATACTAGGAAGTTTACCAATAACCTACATCACTCTCTGAGTGGGTGCCTGGTTCCTGTCTGCTTCTCTCTCTCGTCATTGAAAAGACTTTTGACCTGTCCAATGGGGTATATGTAGGAGGTTTTAGATATAGTTGGTTTTCCATCCCCTTTATATATGCAGTGAAACTTCTGTATGCATTCCCTACAGTTTCTGTTCGGCCAACTGAGTTTCTATCGCCTTCATTCCCTATCAGCAGTGGATCCCTTCATCCCTATTCTACAAAATGGCTTTGGAGCCACTGGCAACAGTGATCAGGTCTAACTCTTTAATTTTAGCATATCCCATATCGCCAAGCTCTACCCAAGTTTTAGGCTTATTTGCTGATGATCGCATGGTCGCTATGACTGACCACCTCAAGGTCCTCCCAGACCTACGATACACACTATCTAAATTCAGTTATGTGTCCTATTACAAGGTTAATTTATCTAAGTCACAAGCCCTCGCAATAGAAATCCTGAAGGAAGAGGTGTCCCACTTTCATTTACGTTTAAGAGATAATTATTTAACTAACTTAGGCATACGAATTTCTTAACTGAGCAAGGATCTGGTCTGGAACACAATCTGACTATTTAAGGAGATGACATGAGATGTCCTGGCTGGACAGACCAGTGTCGTTGAAAGTAACATTTTTACCTAATATTCTGTATTCTTGCGTACCATTCCACTCACAGTACGCAATAGTACTCAGTGACCAGGGAAAGATAAAGAATGAAAATGATGACACCTTATCTGCTGTAAAATTCTGACCTTTTGGAGTAATGCAGTTAACAAGTACCATACTTTCTACATAAAGATTTTGTTTACTTGAATGTGCTCTTTTAATCACCACTGTCTCTGTAACCTTTTTATAACTGAGTGAGGATCAAAAGATTGCTTTTCAGAAATGGGCAGGATTGCTCTTAATCTTAATGTGTACAGAAACACATTGATGATGCAGGGAGCTGAAATAGCTTTTTAGTTATTTAATTTTAGTAAATGGATCATCTGCTCATATTAGTCCTTTCGTTTAGGAACAAATTCTCATCAGCCTTGGCAAATGTATATCAGATTACTTTGCAGCCTGGTGTTATGTATCATCCTTTTTTTTAAATTTTCTCTCTCTTTGTTTTTTTTCTTTTTCAGGGACAGGCGCCAAATGCAAATAATACTTCTCCAGTAGAAACAGGAAACCAGCCGGTAATATTAAGCTTTCTTGATTATTACAAAATTACTGTTACATGGTGTGATGTACATTAACTGATCAGCCTCTCTTTCAGAAATCACTATTCATTAGGTGTGAATATACATTGTTTACATGCAAAATAGGAACTGGGATTTGTTAAACGTCAGGGATACTCAGCACACTGCTAATTTGTTGTCAAAAATGGGTAACAAGAAGCAACAAAAAATGGAATGTGCAGTATTGAGTCATTTTAGTACGCTCCACTTTTAAAAATTTTTTTTAATATTTACTTCACTCTTACTGTAGATTTTTGGATGTGTAGTTAATGGGACACACCTGGCCCCAAATTCACTTTAATGCATCTGATACCTTTTGGTTTGATTAATATGCTGCATTTTTTTGCATGCTCAACGTTTTTATAGATTTTGCACAAAATAAATGTTGAAGAATGCTGCACCATAAATAAACCTCCTTAGCCACACCACCTCATGTTAGAAAGACATCTTTTTATCAAATGTATGTACACAGTCTCTGCCCCAACAGTATTACGAGAGCAGTTTTTATTACCTGGCTGCAGACAGTCAGAGAAAATACAAACAGGCAGTGATAGCCTTACTGTATGTCCCCTTTTGTGTTCTCTCCTTCTAATGCAGGTTGTCTTGTTGTTCAAATCATTCAGTGGCTGAGGTGTTTACATACATTTTTGATAAGGAATTATTTTTCTGGACTAAGGGGATATGGCTATGAATGCAGGCTTAAGGTGCAGCATTCTGCAAATCATTTATTTTATGCAAAATTGGTGCCTGGATTGTCCCTTTAACCCCTTAAGGACCAAACTTCTGGAATAAAAGGGAATCGTGACATGTCACACGTCATGTGTCCTTAAGGGGTTAAATCAATTTAAATCGTGGGGTGCCTTGTTCATATGACACACAGAGCATAGAGTCCAAAATTGCAGTTTATGGAGATACAATCCTATTTCTTCTCCAAATACACCTCACAAGCATTTCGAGTCCAATTTTTCCTTTTTCAACAAGGCAAAGGCAAAATTGTACAACTTTGTTTTGATTTCTTTATCTTCGTGTTTCTTTAAAAAAAGACTACTCCTGAGTGGCAGCGAGGGCTTTAGTACACATCAGCCCCAATACATATAATAAGAAAACAAAAAAATAGGTTTCTTTCAAATCCCTATGCTTACCTTTTAATGGCCATTAAAGTGACAGCAAAATATTCTTCAAATGTCCATAAGGATTAGTGAGCATGTCCATAGGGATTTCATTTTTTTTTGATTTTAATGTTTTTTTTTAAAATAGATGAAAGTAAAGTTTGATGCGTATAATGATACCATTTTTGAGAAACTGTAGGCAGCTATTGTAGGCAGAGCCCTTTCTATTGGTAATGGTTCCAGGAGTATACTAATTCTGTCTGTACAATGGTAAAATGTCAAATCCTTTTAGCATGTTTTTACTACTTACCTGAGTTATGCTGGATGCATTTTCTGCATCTGGCCTTCTTCAGCCGGAAACACCGGATGTATTTGTAGAGCAAAGCACAGCTGACACAGGAACGTGTTCATTGGCTGGGAGTACTCAGCTGTTACTCTCAGCCAATGAGCATGGTTCGTGCATGGTCTTCCTTGTTCTATAGAGCAATCCAGCTTCTCCTTCTGGAGACCAGATGTAAGCATAGTAAAAACTGCTTCGATTCGGGGCAGAGATTTCTACAACCTATAACATTGTGTATATGTGTTTTAATTCTAGGTTCCTGACAATCCACCAAATTATATCCTCTTTCTTAATAATTTACCTGAAGAAACCAATGAGATGATGCTGTCCATGTTATTTAACCAGTAAGTTTGAGATTTATTTCATTTATTGATTTATTTTTATATTCAAAGGTGCTTTCTGAATGCCACTGCTGAATGCTGAATGTCGCTCAGTTGACACCGATATACAGCGTGTCTATAGAGATTACTTTAAATTTTTTTATTTTATATTGTGCTATTGAAAAAACATTTTCAGTCAAATTCTGAACTTTATTACTTGTCTAACTTCCTTTCCTGATTTCAAATTAATTCTGACCTGTGTGTGAAAATACTATCTGGCCAATCAGTCATGCATGTGGAGACTGTTTGTTTATTGCAATAAAAGCTAGGGATGCACCGAAATGAAAATTCTGGGCCGAAACTGAAAATTCAGGATGCCCTTGGCCGAAATCCGAAACCGAAAATTACTTTTTTCCTCAAATGATTTAAAAAAGTTTTTTTCCTAAAATTTTATTATTAGACTTTTTAATGAATTTAATCTAATATGAAAAACTTCCCCTCTCCCTTCTCTTTTAGTGGTCCCCCCTGCTTAATGTTCCTCTCCCGTCCCTCCTTTTTTAGTGTTCTTTCCTCCCTCCTCCCCAGTTCCACAGTATTCTTTCTCCCCTGTCCCATAGTGTTTCTCCCTCCACCCCTGTTCTCCCCCACCCCCACTGTCCCATAGTGTTCTCTCCCCGTCCCAGTGTTCTTTTCTGTCTCATAGTGTTCTTTTCCCTTCCCATAGTGTTATCCCCCCACCCCCACTGTCCCATAGCATTCTTCCTCCTCCCCTGTCCCATAGTCGTCGTCCCCCTTGTCCCAAGTGCAGTATTCTTGATTTTTTTCATGTCATCATTACTATTTTTCATTGTGAAATACAGTATAATCATCTGAATTGTTAATGCAAGCATGTCTGGTAAACTATGCCAATTATTTCGTCAAATTTGACCCGTTTTCGGCCGAAACGGGATAGCCCAATTTTTGGGCGAAAATTTTGGCAGCCAAAATTTCGGTGCATCCCTAATAAAAACTGGTGACATCAATCTCCTGTGTCCAAGAAATAGTGATTGTGGTTGTTTGTGTTAATCAGATGTTTGTCATGACCTCTCACATATCATAGCTTGAGCCGCTTACTGGCCTTCTCACAACTTTCCTAACTTACCCAATCCCCTGCACCTGATTGTGCTCTTTCCACATGTATCGAATGTATTCTCTTTATTGTTCCTGGTATTGCATCTTTTTACTTCCAAATCTTTCACTTTATCTCTTTGCATTCAGAATATTTTTATACTTTGAGTTCCCTGTTTATGAAGATGATAGCATTTTTTATAATTTAATTTATTTTATTTTTTTAACTGTTTGCTTCTTAATTTACATTTGTATAGTTATAATTGTTTTAATACACCTGTGCACTCTCTACAGGTTCCCTGGCTTCAAAGAAGTTCGATTAGTACCGGGAAGACACGACATTGCTTTCGTAGAGTTTGAAAACGAAACTCAAGCAGGATCTGCACGTGATGCCCTACAAGGATTTAAGATCACACCGTCTCACGCCATGAAAATCACTTACGCTAAAAAGTAGACAGAATTTACATTGATGGACTTGCTTATGCAATTATTTTGTTTATTGTTGATATTCTGGAAGACTCTTCATGTTCTGGAAATTGATGGCTGGTTATGCACATGTTTTTTTTCAATTATGACAGAAATAATTTTGTACAAATAAATGTTTTCTTTTAATATTGGTGATTTAGTTTACATCCACTTGCTTTTATTTGATCCTTGCTATACTGTTTTTTTTTTTTTTTTTAATACAATGGATATGATTACTGTGTGTGTAGCCAACGGTTAAAGCTTAATCTAGATTAGGGGTTGGCAATAAAAATGTTGTGGACTACATCTCTCCCAATGCTTTGCCAGGATTGTGACTGTAGAAGCATTGTGGGAGATGTAGACTGTATGAGAATTGCATTAGTCATAGACTAGCCTCCGCTATATAGCTTTCTTTTGTCTAGAGCTGTTAAGTTTTTACTAAAAGAATTGCATAATAGTCATTTGTATGGGTAGTTTAGTATTGAAAATCTTAACTATATGTACTGAAAGCAAAAAAGAGCTGGGGTGTGAGATTTTGTCAGATTCGCTAATAGAAAATAGTAAAGTACAATTTTAAAGTTAAATAATTAATGGAACCGATGGAATATGCAAGAACATTCAATTGGTTTCCATAGGGATTCCTTCACTTTTCAACCTTTTGCTACACTCTTATATCGGCACCAATTTGACTGCAGTTTCTGATTTCTTATTACATTCCGATTATTGTTACACTAGAGGAAAAGAAGGCAGAATGTCACCATCTGACATTTAATTTTTCTCTTTATTGTCCTGCAGGGGGCCAGACATATCATATCATATCATATCATATATATATATATATATATATATATATATATATATTTTTTTTTTTTTTTTCCTTTCCTTTTTGTCACTTTCTCCAATGTTGTGCCTCCCTCACATGTAATCTCCACCTCTTTTTGTTTGTTACCATCAACACCCTCTTACTATATGTCAGCACTGCTATGTTATCATCCCCTCTTTCTATTACTTGTCCCCACATCCACCTTTATCACGACCCTTACAACCTGGCTATGTCTTTCTTTTTATCTTTCCATTCACCATGTCTGTGCTTCCCCATGTTATGTAATCTTTTCTCTATTAGTTCCACACAGGGTCGCTTTGCACCTCCCACCTCTTGTCATTTGTCCCATCCTCTTAATGTGGCTTATGCTCTTCCTTTCCTCATGGAACTTGCTCCATAATCACTTACTATTACTCCAGCCATTTTACTTGTCCCTTTGTTTTGAGGGGAGTCCTGTTGCTCCAATGCACTGCAGAACAATAATAGTAATAGTAGGCAAGTAGGTGGTCTGCTTCTTTCTTCCACCATCATTGCTTCCCAATTCCAGTTACTCACCCCTTTCATTTCCCCTCTCGGTATTGCCTGTGTGAGGAAGCAGCAGTGACGGGTCTCATTTCTGCACCTATAATATTCCTGTCTTGTCTATAATGTTTTATCAGTATGTGACGCTCTATTGCTTTTTTTTTAGTAATCCAGGATGCATAGTTATGTGCTATATACAAAGTGCTTTTCTGAATCTCCTTTTCACTACAACTTGCTTAATAGAAGGTTACCATGCTCATATTCTGTCATACGAGCCCGCCACATTTTATTCAACATTGAGTATGACTGGAAGTTCAGTACATTTGACCACCCTACATATTGACTGTGTTAAAGTACATTCGACCATGTTACATATTCACTGTGGTTCAGTGCACTTGGCCTATTTTTGGTCACACTACATTTGGTTTCAGTAGTTTTGGCCTATTTTCGCCACTCTATAAAGTCACTTTGGTTTAGTTCTTTGAGTCTACGTTTGGCATTACTACAACTGTTATACTCTGGAGACTTCGCTCAACACAAATATGAGTGTTTACAACAGAAAAACTTATCACGACGATGAAATCACCAGTAAAAGTGCAGTTTTTGGGTAAAAATAATGCAAAAAACAAATATGAATGCTAACTTTGGCAAGCGTTTGTGGCTACTACAAAAGACTGGACATACCCCATTTTGAGTACCGTGGGTTATCTACCTTTACAAATGGTATGCCATGATGAGGTTAATTTTCATTCCTGGGCTGCTATACGGTCTCAAAGGCAACATAAGCCCAGCAAACCAGGCTGGCAAATCTCAATGTGCAAACATGGAAAAGGGGAAAGCCCTATATTTGATCCCTGCAAGTTTGTAAAAACCCATAAAACCGGTACATGGGGGCACTGTTGTACTCGGGAGATGTTGCTGAACACATATTGTTCTTTGTCAGTAACACATAACAGAATCCATGCCTAAAGTACAATGTGAGAAAAAAATAACACAAAAAATGATTACCCAAAAGTTTGACAAAGACTGGTGGTAGAATTAGTGCATGGAAAGTGTTAAAATACCATCATTTGAAATACCCTAGGGTGTCTACTTTTCAAAAATATGTTTTGATGGGGGTAAATTACATTGGCCAGTTTCATAAATGTCCCAAATAGGACATGGTTGAATGATGACCAGCTGTGAAAATTCCATTTTAGCTCCCAGAGAACTATGCATGAGGGGTATCACCTATACATTGGGAGTATCACTGTACTCAGATGTTGCTGAACACATATTGGGATGTTCTTTGGCAGTAACCATTAAAGTTCTCAGTACATGTATTCTTAAATTGCTGTGTGTGTCAAAAAAATCACCAATTATTATTTTTTTTTTAAAATTTGGCATAGATTGGTGGTAAAATGGTTGCATGAAAAGAGTCAAAATACCCCAAGATTAATACCTTAGGTTGTCTTCTTTTAATAAAAAAATCAACACGTGAAGGGTTATTCAGGGATTCCTGACATATATCCGTGTTACAAAAATGTTTTGGAAATAGCAAATTGCTACTTGTACTTATAGCCCTATAACTTTCCAAAGAAAGCTAAGAATATGTTAACATTGGGTATTTCTAAACTCAGGACAAATTTAGAAACTATTTAGCACGGGTGTTTTTTGGCAGTTGTAGGTGCGTAACAGATTTTGGTTGTCAAAGTTAGAAAATGTGTGGTTTTTTTCATCATATTTTATAATTTTCTTTTATAGTAAATGATATGATGAAAATAATGGTATCTTTAGAAAGACCATTTAATGATGAGAAAAACAGTATTTAATATGTGTGGGTACAGTAAGGAAAATTACAGCTAAACACAAACACTGAAGAAATGTAAAAAGAGCCCTGGTCTTTAACGGTAAGAAAATTGAAAAACGGTCTGGTCACTAAGGGGTTAAACTTAGGGAGGGAAACAAAAAACGAATGCAAGAGAATGCCGAGAACGGATAACAGCTCAAATCGTTTGCCATTCTGTGGTCACTGCTCAGATCTCAAACTGGTTTTAGCTCATCTTGTGCCATTACAAAGAGATCCTAAACTATTTGCAAATCAGACTAATCCCAACCAAAAGGGCAGTTCAGATACACTACAACGTGTGAAATGACAAAGGGGAGGAGATATAGAGCAGAAGATTAGGGTTTAATAAGCACTCTGACAATTAGTTTCAGGTCAAGTTTGGAAGAGATACCAAGACATGAGCCTTGGGAATAGTCTGTTTCCTTACAGCAGCTAGTACAGAGCACCATTCACTTCCAATACATTGTTTTACAGTCAGCATAATTTTATTTTTTGAACATTCCACACTGGGTTACAGAATAATTTTTATCCAATTTTACCAACTAATTTCATCTTCGAGTCCTTGTTGTGTATCTTCCTAACTGCTTTATCAGGCAAGGTACAAGTAGACCTAGTCATGAGAGGGTTTTGCTAATTATATTGTTACAAATTTAGTTAGTTTTAATATTTTTGCCCTGTTTTACAGGCTTACCAATTTAATCGGTTTGGCCCATCACAAACGATTTGCTACTACAGGTTTAGCTCAAACCTTATTGTACGCCCTCAGCCTTTGTCCCCGACCACATGTACAGTATATACATTTGTATGAATTATATAGATATCAAACAGAATTGTACACAAAGGGTTAGTTATCTAATTGTGGATATATGTGATGGATCTTTTCCTATTTTTCACAATAAATAATTTTTCAGTTAGAGAACGTTTTATATAACACCTCCCCTATCTAACAGCCTGTTTGCTGAATACCTTATTAAAATGTTCTACAACAGCGCTTTTCAAATGTGCAATCTGACGCGTGCCATTGTTCCATCACATTTTGACACCTGTCAGAATCACACATGCTGTTCCTGTGTAAATTAACTGCACCCTGCCATCTCTCTGATTTATAAGGCATCAAACGATTCCTTTTACAATTCACTGCGGTTTCTGCACCTACTTAGACAAAACTAAACTGTTTCATAATTAATATATAGCACCAAAACTTTAGGAACCAAAGCAATTCTTCATTAAAAGACAATTGTCACTTTACAGGCTTTTTAAACTATGTGTACGTATCCCCTATATTTAGCAAATGTGTGTTTGTGAGATCTGAAGATCAGAATTGAAGAAACATTCCAAAATTAAAACCCTTTCAGTACCTTCATTGCAACTGGAATATCTGCACTCCAAGCTAAGTCTGGTGATGCAGGGCTTAGCTCATCAGTTGAGTGCAATTAGCTGACTCTCAGCAAATGACTTGGATCTCCTGGAGGCTGAGAAGAGGTGGGGCGCCAGGACAATCCTGATGTCCTGTAGTTGTTATGGTGTTTAAAGTGTCTTTTAAAGTAACACTATAGCATTAGAAGTACAAAACTATATTACTAATATTATAGTGTCCCTATCTCTATTACTATTATTCTGGCTCTGTCGCCTCTACTGGTGACGTCATTTTGATAGGAGGAACCTAACGTGCATGCGAGGCAAGCTCCATGCGCGCATTTGAGCTTCCAAATAGGAAAGCATTGAATCAATGCTTTCCTGTGTGGAATTTAAAAAATGTTAGATATCCTCATGCGAAGCGTGAGGAGTTCCGATGTCATTTCGTGGGAAATGGCAAAATGGAGTTTCAATTGCTAAACTGTTACTTTAGTTAAATTAGAGAAATTAAATGACGTTGGCCCTTCTCACGCTTTGCCATTTGGGTTTAATTGACTAAAATTCTGAGTTTATTGAATAAACCAACCAAAGTCTCTTTTAACCCCTTAAGGACACATGACATGTG